TTGGGTGTAGTCATGAAACATGGCCTCCCTGATAACTTGACCTAGAGCCTAGGAAGAGAGTTGACATGAGGCAGAGAATAGACATACCAACACTGCTGGACCCACCAGATGTTGAAGAGAGAACGGCTGATACAATTGTCATTGCAACAACCAAGGCTACCCCCAGCAGCTCTTCAGAGATATACCGCGCGCCGAGCAAAATGCAGGACCACATAAGGGTGAAAGGGACCATACCTTGTTGAAGTAGATTGAACAGGATGATCGATAGGAACGGTTGAGTGAGGAACATGAGATTGTCTCCAAGCACATCAGCGATGGAGGAGAAGAAAGTGTACTTGAACCCTGGTAGTTTATCCCACCACCGACGGAAGCCTTTTTTAGACTCATCGACATCTTTACGTGGAGTCCATACCCATAGGAACTCCTCCTTAGTCATGATGTCTTTATGCGTGAGCTTACTCACGATCCACAGAATGATGAGAATGCACCAATAGGTGGTAAAATACACGAACTGACTAATAATACTCGTAACATAGCCTGACGCATCTCCCAATGGCTGAGACCGAATCTTCCCCGCGATGGTATTTAAAGTCCCTGTCACAACCAGGAGGACGATGAGAGTGGGGATAAGCAACTTGTGCCATGTAAATCGGTCTCGCCAGAAAGAACAGCGTGCCTTCTCCATCACAGGAGTGTTGGGAATTACGCTGCTACTGCTGCTGCTGGAAGTTACTGGGGTCACTGCAGAAAATGACATTTCCGAGCGCCACGAAAAAATAAATCTGAAACACATGAAGCCTTGCTAGCGCCACCTGAATACAATTGATAAGCAAACTCCCCACTATTATAAGCCACCATACTGCTATACAGTAGTAGCCCCTACCCCCTTTACGATCGCTCATCCACTGTAAGAGGTATGTTGATAGTAATGACTTGAAATTCGACGTGCATGATCCCGGCTGCTCAACAGTCAATGACCGTGCCGCGAATTTAGCTGTGTGATATTGTCT